ATGCTTAAGCTGCGCGTTTACTGACATTGGCTTGAAGCATGGCGACAAGGAGAGAGAGGAAACGCATTGAATATGGGTTTCATTCACAAATAAATACCAATTCAGACGGTATTCACTCTTTTCCTCCTTGTGCTGTTGTTGTGTTACGAGTGTTTCCGTTGCAAGCTAAGAAATATCATTGTAGGTAGTAGCAACATTGTCATCGTAATCTCTAATAATATATTTTTGCATATTTTTGCATATAACACATTCAAACATGAATCTATTGCTTCTGTTTCGCCTCATGTGCAATAGACGAAAGGAAAGCGTGCAGGGATGCAGATACTCCTGAGAGAACGAAAACGCAAAAAAATCAGAATTTCTAGTTTGTCTATGTTTATGATATAATACAACCATATATGCTTGCATGTGTGCTTAGTTCTGTGCATCCATGCGTCTGTTGAATGTCTATCTTGTCTACGCTTCTGGTAGTTTCTATGTACGTATGTTTGTATGTATGTTCAAGTCCATGGCTGTATTTTTCTTTTTTTTTTAATGCACTTTTATATTTTATATATGCATCAGTTGCTTCTGTGAATCTCACCCTCAAGTAATGTGGTCGTCGTCGCGGCTTGGATCGCCCAGTATATTGCAAGGGAATAGACGGCGGCCCCCAAGAAAAGAAACCAATCAAAGAAAGCAGAACGAGCTTCAGTTATTTCTATGTTTACGGGGGGTTCCTGAGGGCAGAAAACAAATTCAATCCAACTGATATTTGGGGTTTTAATATGCATGGTAGACTATATATATATATATATATATATATATATATATAGTTATGAAAATGTTCGATACAATAAGGTACACCAACAAGTCATGAAGGCTTTCAGTTAGCTTCTCTGTGCACACTTATCGGCGTAAATGCACTATAAATAACTTAAAATATCCATCAAAAAGCATTCATGATCGTGGTTATCAGCACAGGAGCCAGCAGCTGCTGCGTGTAGCGTTTCCCCTGAAACCCTTGTCTACCCACAACCACAGGGGGAGGAGTGATGGCCTAGCAGCAAGTGGTTGGCCTTACATAGAAAAAGGAAAACCCGCCCATGTCTACGTCGAACTCGTGCACCTCAGTAGACA